AACAGGAAGTTGAACACACCAACCCCAGTTCCGCACCAAATGTCACCTTTTGAAAATATCTCTGCACACATTTAGCAAAAGTCATTGTGTTAGAAAAGACAGCACTAAACGCTGAACAAATATGGTCAGTTTTAATTACTGGATGGATGTACATTTGAGAAACTCAACATCGTACACAAAATCATCCAATCACAGCTGTCAGTTGAGTCACAATGGCCCTACGAAAAGTGCTTCTTAAACTACGGAATCTGGTTTGATGCAGTATAACATTTAATTACATCATGAAAGAAATGATTTGGAAAATTACAGACTCCGTGGACGGGATTGGGGTTTGGGAGGGGACAGTTTCTGGTAAAAGTGTTCACAGGTGACACCACACACACAAAAACACACACGCACACACATACACACATACTGTGCAACGCCTATTTCTGGTAATTGTTGGCAGACGGTTGTGAATTTGTATTGAACGGAGAATAAATTTTTCGATTTTTGTTTCAGCTCGCTGGAGCCAGTCTCATATATTCAACGTCCCATATTTGTAAGCGAGAAAGAGCTCACTTCCGATGTGTACAACATCGACCCTCTATCATGTGCCAACGCGACTTTGTCCAGCTTGAATTTGGAAGGTGGAGGTCACCGTTCTACCTATAATGTTGGAGAAAGACTTACAGTGACAGTGCGTTTGTATAATGGCTATGGACTACCTAAGAAAAGAGGCGGAGATTTAGTCAGAGTCTGGCTTCGAGATATCGCTCAGTCAGCATGTTCAGCTGGTCACGTGACTGATAACGGAGATGGCACATACACAGGAGTTTTAAAAGCGGATTGGGCTGGTCAACCGGAAATTAGTAGCTTCCATTGCTGGACCAAGAGAAAGTTTAAAAATCTTTTATAAAGTTTTTGAAAATCACCAAACAATAAAACATATAAACGCCATATTTGCAATTGAGGGGGCAAATCTGGAGGTTGAGGAGACTCGCTGCCTACCGTTCTCAGAAGTCCCTGGGTACCGGAAGGTTTGCAACTTTACGGCTGAGAACTACGGTCTGCCCTGGTTCTGTGGCGAGCCGAGATCTGTAAATGTCACCTGTTTTGATTGGATACAAATCGTTGTTCATGACAACGCGGGACATCTTCCCTTCACCGACTCGGAAAAAGTCATAATTGAAAGGTGAGATTTCGTATATTTACAAATAGACGTGAACCAATATTATTGATGGGAATTGCTGAAGAACTGTATTTCTCATCATGTTTGGAAAGCCGGGTGATGCAGAACCTACTTGTAAAACTTTGGTGAAACTCTATAGTACGGGTATTTGAATTGGTGACAAAAGAAAACGTAATAATTGCGATACTATACATCGTTAGGATATCAAGTCTGTTATATCCATATATATTATGTTATCTATTACCTCGATTCACGATGTTACACGTGCATTTGTGATTCATACTACATTATGCAAATGAGGTTCTTTTTCCTCTGATTGGGTTGACTTCGCTGGTTAGAGTTGCTTCCCTTAGGCGTTTCAGGGCGCCATGTGTAAAGCCAATGTCTTCTGTCCCTCGCCGTGTTATTGCCGAAATATTGCTCAAAGGGCGGCGTAAAATCATACTCACTCATTAATGATACAATTATGTTTTTATCTGAATATATTCCACTATATTCTACAATATTAATTGAATCTTGATCACATAAACTTTTCCAGTATCTTTTCAATATGTATTTATTTATTTTTTTAGAAATAACCACACACAAATCCAAACCCGCCTCGCCGTCACAATCCGTGCTGGTAAGTATACTATTGTTTAGCTGCAAAGACAACAAAAATGATAAATATATTGAAATCAGGTGTCACAAATTCTGAAAATATTTAACAATCTGTCATCCATGAAATAGTTCGTACATGTACGGTTTTGCAAAGCAACACTGGATTATAAAGCAGTATCACGGAATAATCATCAATAATTACACAGTCATGTAAATTGCACATCTTGATCAGGGCAATATAACGAGAATACTTATAGTGCATAATGTATGCTTTGTTACACTGGAGCTACATCGATTGTGAAACTATTTAACGTTGAGGTCATAATACAAGCCCAGGCTCATCTCCGATAATCATGGGTAGTAATTCTAGTAGTAGTCATATTATCCTAATACATAATGATATGATAATAGCATATGTGTACCGCGCATGCGTGCTTATCCATGCTCAAAGCGCCCAAACTGATTATCATTAGTACCGGATAACCCAAGCTGCCTGTGAGGCGTTAGAAAGTTTATGGTTACATAATTTAGCGAACCGGTACCCATTTCTGGTGGGTGAACAGATGCAATTTTGAACAAACTCACTTGCCTAAAACACATGTATCGCTTGTGCTTCGTTGTGGTGCAGGACTGATGTCCTAGTAACTCTCAGGAGTCAAGCTGCCAAATACGGTCACCCGTCCAATGACTCTCCGCGCTCAACGTTGCTTAACTTCAACTGATTTGTGACCTGAGCTCTACTCACTGGACCACACACCATCACATGTACCCTAGAACCACAACACACATCTGAAGTTAGAAAATAATTTCTCCCGCTTGTAAAAATATTTCAACTGTGGGGCTGTTATTAGTGACCGTTCATATTTATTACTAGGTGGGGTGATGATGATATTTATGGAGAAGCATGTACAATGTGATTGACCCCCCCTAAAATGTATGCACAATTTATGCACAAAATCAATTACCCCCCTCCCCTTCCCATATTCTGTAAGCCTACTTTTAAATATTTTTATGTACAAAATTGATGACCCCTAGAACATGTGTACAAAATTGATGACCCCCTACCTTCCCCGAAAAATTGGTGACCCCTTAAAATCATCCTCAGTATGGATGATTTAGAGAAGAGGAAGTTGATTTTAGAGTATTATAACATGGACATCAGATCAGCAAAAGTCATTTCAAGTAGAACAGGCATCCTTTGTCCACTGTTTATCGTGTTTTGAAAAATATTGCAAATGAATATGGTATTGAGCACCAGGGAGGCGCAGGTAAGCCCAGAAAATTGACTGTCGGTGACAGGAGGCGGCTTAGTATTCTTGTTTCTAAAAACAAACGAAGGAGTTTAGAAAACTTAAGGCTGGATATGATTGATAGAGGAACTTTGGCTGTCTGTAAGGAGACAATTTAAACTGAGCTGCATGCAATGGGTTGGCAGAAAAGTCGAGGAATTCCATCACCTATCATGAAACCTGAACAAAAGGACGGAAGGTTGAACTGGTGCTTACAGCATAGAAATTTTAACTGGGACAACGTGATTTTCTCAGATGAAAGTTCTGTGTGGCTGTTTCCTAATACACTGAAATTCTGGACCAAACAAACTGAAAAACCTTTGTATCAGCGCTCAAAGTACAGTCCGAAATTTAACGTGTGGGGTGGCATATCTGTGTTAGGGGCAACGCCCCTCTGTGTATTTGAAGGGAATATGAACAGTGAGCGGTACACAGATATTCTCGAGGGACATTCACTTCCATCTTCTCACGTGTTCTATTGACATTTTTGGATTTTCCAGCAGGACAACGACCCAAAACATCGTTCAAAGCATTCACAGGCCTGGTTTCGGACCTAAAATATGACATTATTAGATTGGCCAAGCTATAGCCCTGACCTAAATCCAATAGAAAATGTTTGGGGACTTTGGGGACAGCATGGACCACGACTTTCTAACTTCTTTGATCAGTAGTATGCCCCGCCGCATTGAAGCCTGCATTGCTGCCTATGGTGACTTGACAAAATACTAACTGTCTTTGAATCTGGAGTTATGTTCTGCTAATATTCACATTTAATACGTGAGTAATGAATGAAAACAATAAAAAAATTACAATATTTAAATTCTCAATAATTTCTGGTTGTACTGTGTACATACGCTACTCTATGTAAATCATTCTGAATATCTTCTCGTCCAGAAACGTTATTTTCAAATGTGATTAGGTTGTTTTTTTTCCTTATTTGTCATTTGTCAAATGTGTCCCTTTATGAATGTGTTTCATATCACGCTTGAGTTCAACAAAATGTTTTTATTGGGACTAAAGATGATTGATGGGCAAGTAACGTACGTGGTGACGATACATGAGAAACATTTCCAATTTACGACCCTAAATTCCCCAACTGTCAGGCTTTTAACACAAATGTACAGCGAAATAACACTGGACCATAAATATTCCCGATTCCAAATGGAAATTAGGAGATATAGGTTTACTCTTGTGTTCCGCGATTTCAAGTTGAAAATATACTTGGAAACCGTCCCCTGATTCAGGTTTGGAAACCACACACACATTAACACTGAAGGTGTAGCACCTGTGAAGACATGGCCAATAAGTCAGGGTGCTGTTGTACAAAACCTTAGCGCTAAGACTACCTTAAGGTATGGGAGTTACGGTCACCTTAGCGCACCCTGGGTGCCGTTGTACAAAACAACCTTAGCACTAAGACTACCTTAAGTCTATGTTAAGGTGTGGGAGTTACGGCCACCTTAGCGCTAAGGTCGCTTTGTACAACGGCACCCTGGTCTTCAGCAACACATGTCAGTCGTACGAGGCGGCCGGGATCGGGTGGTCAGTCTTCGTATCAGTTGCGCAGATTGATGCTCATGCTGCTGATCACTGAATTGTCTGGTTCAGACTTGATTATTTACAGACTGCCACGATATAGCTGGAATATTGCTGCGTGTGGCGTTAAACAACAAACAAACTGAAAGGTGTCCAATCTTTGGAAGTCAAAGGGAACCACCAAAGCTGAAAACTATCGCCTGGTGAATTTCAACTCAGTTAAAAGGATCCTTGTATTTTCGACGAACATTTGAGGTTACCAACAAACCTACAGATCGATCAGTTCAAAACAGTATCTCGCATGTAGTTCTGCTTTGTATAATTGTTAAAAAATATGTTCTATGTCAGGTGAGTCCGGCGCTTCCAGTAATACTAACGATGTCATCCCATGTAACCAACGTCCCATGTTTGACACATGGAGGGATGTGTCCCCCGTTGGCTTTTTCTACAAGTGGGCGTGGGTCCCCGCCGCCTGCAAATACATCATTGCAACTATCGACGACTACGAAGGATGTTTACGTAACCGACGCCTTCTCATATACGGAGACTCCACAACACGACAGTGGTTTGTTCATATCCGGAAACTGCTCCAACTCGAAATGGCGACTCAGATGTTTGAGGACGGTCAGCCTTGGCACAAACCCTGCCGAGCTGTCAACTACCTCCACAACTATTCAGTGTTCTGGGGACCTCACGAACTCCCTTTCTACGGAGGACCCAACAGGGGCTTCAACAGACCTACGTTTGTTTACCTAGATGAAATACCCAACCATTCAAGAGATATTGTTGTAATACACTACTACCTTCATTTTGTGTCGTTCCATCCAAGCGTGTTCACACGTCACATCCGGCGTCTCTACCAATCAGTGGAGTCCCTTGTGTCACGTGCCCCAAACGTCACCGTGGCAATAAAGGGCCCCCATACATTGCAGGATCTGCCAGGTCGATTGGAAGACTACTGGGGCCCTGTCTATGACAATATTATACGTGATACGTTTAGACCAATCATGGACAAAGTGTTGTATTTGGATTTTTGGGATATGACTTTAGCCGCTGAGAACCAGAGTCTTCATCCAAATGATACGATCGTCTCCAGTATGGTGCATTATATGTTAAACATGGCTTGCAGGAAAATACATTTATGAATTAATACCCAGTGTTATATTTTTTCTTGGCGACACAGGTTCATTACACCATTGTTAGGATAGGCCAGGGGTTGAGATAGAGAGGGGGCTATTATGCCTTCATTAACACGTGACACGTTGGATATGGATAGTTAGGGTATTCAGTATACTATTAATCTCTTCCAGTACATTTCTTTAAATCAATGAATGAAAATGATTGTATTTCGGTGCAGCTTAACTTCTATCTGACATGCATATGTGTTCGTGTGCTGTATAATATCAAAGCAGTGATAAATGTCTACGTTGCAATGAGCGAGATGTCACATGCCAACCTCTACGATTTTATCGTAGTCCCTACGAATTTTAACCTCAAACTACGCCAATACGATTGCACTAGAAATTCAACGAAAATTGATTAAAATTCGGATATATAGACAAAAGCATATATTTTTGTCGATGAAATACATTTTCGGACTTCACTTACCTTCCATTTTGTCAAATTTAATGACATATTTGAACTGGAATCATTGCAAGTAACAAACTTAATTTTATCAAAATTGTCTATCAGAAATCTGAAGCTGATTTCAATACCACTGCGATTTTAAGTATACAGTTGACTACTAATTTTATGGTCAAACTACTAATTTTGAGCCTTAAAACTACTATATGCAACACTTTGTGGTTGGCATCTCTGCATAGTACACAGTATTCGGGCAGCGACCACCTGCATCTTCTGGCTTCAACGTCTGTGACAGCTGAGCAAGGACATATACCTCCCAGTCCATCTCGGTGGTCCGGTGAGCGACTGCGTGCGGCGATTTATGGTCATTGATGTCAAAGTTAATCTAAATTCTTATCCGAACTAGGATTTATAATTATAGAAGGAGGATAGGTGTCACCATTGCCCGTGACACGACCATGACACCTGTAGTGCTTCCTGCAGAGGTCATCTCTTGACTCTTGTTTCTCGAACACCTGTTGCGGTGAGGGAGTCTAGTGGTTAGAGCTTTGTTCGTCACGCTAAAGACGCGGGAACGATTCCCCATATATGTACAATATGTGAAGCCCAATTATGGTGTCACCGCTGTGATATTTCTGGAATATTGCTAAAAACTATGTAAAACCATACTCACTCACCCTATACAAACTTCATTGCAATTGAGTTCTTGTAGACAATTCAAGGTGCCTGAATTCAGTCAGTAAGAAACATATGTTAAAACATTAATGAAAAGCACATTGGGATAATAAGTACAGCAATGTTATACTATTGTCTTATCTAATATATTCACACGTATTTGTACGCAAGCAACTCAAACTTAAATTGATTGGACTATTCGCATAGTTTGTGAATTCTACGTCAAGGCAAGTTTCAATACATTAACATTTTGAGCAGATCCATGATTCCCCGCCTTGCCTCATGCAATTGTAATTGGAAAATATAATGCAAAATAAGATATTACACATGCGCCTAGTGGCAGCAAGAGTTGTATAATCCCCAGGGAGTTGAGATTGATAATAAGATGTGCCGTTGAGATTGACATCAAATGAAAAAGGGAAAAAAATACCAGCACCTTGTGTGTATGTCACTTGGTTAATTGTAAGCCATACTGCAAATAGCAACACGATTGCTAAACAACAATCAGTTAATCGCTCACTAGAAACAGTTTATGCTTAATTTCCTAACAAATCTAACATATCAGCGTGCATTTAGTATACATTTCTTTCCACATTACTAAATATTCCCACATGGAACATTGTCGACTACGAGTACATCATACGAATGTGTGTATGAATGAAAAACAAACGTTGGTGGTAACAGGTGTTTGAGAAAGGTGACATCCATCACAAGCCATGTAAAGGCAAATATACGCATGTAAAACACTGGAAGATAAGGTAGAGATCAAAATAGGGAATCGCATGGAATAGTATACCATTGTCATCTCTGTGTTGAAGTGAGTGAGTGAGTTTAGTTTTACGCCGCACTCAGCCATATTCCAGCAAAATGGCGACGGTATGTAAATAATCGAGTCTGGACCAGACAATCCATTGATCAACAGCATGGACATCGATCTGCGCTGGAGAGAACCAATGGCATTTTATTTACGTCTCAGCCCGTAACAAGGTACATTACAACATACATTATAAAAACATCAATACACGGGCCACTCCGTACAGAGTTATGAGAGACGATATATGTACTAGTATTTACAAGTGATAAAAACTGAATATTCTCGATAAAACCTAATTGGTACATGTTACTGATATAAAACATATTTTCTCTTTTTCAAAATACTATGGCAGGTTTTGGCACTTTCAATAGATAAGATAAAAGCAGTTTTCCGAGTATTGACATGTGTCAACCAAGTCAGCGAGCCTAACCACACGATCCCGTTAGTCGCCTCTTACGACAAGCATGGTGTACTGAAGATCAATATTCTAACCCGGATCTTCACGGGTACTGGGTTGAAGTAGCTCCTAACGACCAACTACAACAATACATTCACACATAGCAACCTTAAACCTCTACAACCAACTTTACGATCACATATCAACTGCCCTACTCAACTCGCACAATCCGATCTTAGCTCGAATGTAAGACGACTTGGAAGTAAGATCGCGATCTAAGCTCAGATCTTCAAGGGTTGGGGCACGAATTTCTTTAGCTCGACTTGTGTCAACCGTCGTCCTCAAACGCGCATAGCAAACGTGAAGCTTTTGCACAATTAAGAAGTTGATCAACCATAAAGACTTGTGATACCTATACCTAGTCATGTTTTATTTCTGTGAAACAGACCCTGTTAGCTACTTAAGATTGCAGCTAAGAGGGGCGGTGGGGCAGCCAAGTGGTTAAAGAGTTCGCTCGTCACGCCGAAGATCCGGGTTCGATTCCCCTCAAGGGGACAATGTGTGTGAAGCCAATTTCTGGTGTCCCCCCGTGATATTGCTGGATTATTGCTAAAAGCTACGCAAAACTAAACTCACACTCAATCCAGCTAACACTGATCTTAGCCTACAATCATGTTATTAGGATTTGCTACAACTGTAGCTAAAATTGTTTTGTGCAGGTGGGCCTTGGACAGGCAGGGACTGAATTCCCTCGATCAAACACCTGCAGCGTTGAGCACAGCCGGTAGTCTTCTCGTGTCTACTCATTTTGTGCAACATATCTACTTACAGAAACACGTGCTATCGTTACTCTCAGAAACCAGCCATACAAATTACGTGGTGCTGTATATGCTTAATTTGTATGACGTATGTTCATATTGTATTAGAGTATTGTACAATCTTCAGTCACAAAACTAATCTTCACAAAACGCGTTGGTGGTGCAGTAACACAGTACTAACAAATAACAATACAAAATGAATTGGCATAAAATTCATGACATGGAAGAATAGTGTACCTATAGTGTAGCCTTGCTATGTTCCAACTAATATTCTTCTGAGAAAAATATGGGGCGGTGGGGTAGCCTAGTGGTTAAAGCGTTCGCTCGTCACGCCGAAGACCCGGGTTCGAGTCCCGAAGTGGGTACAATGTGTGAAGCCCATTTCTGGTGTCCCCCGCCGTGATATTGCTGGAATATTGCTAAAAGCGGCGTAAAACTAAACTCACTCACTCTGAGGAAAATATGGGGCGGTGGGGTAGCCTAGTGGTTAACGCGTCCACTCGTCACGCCGAAGGCCTGGGTTCGATTCTTCACATGGGGACAATGTGTGAAGCCCATTTCTGGTGTTCCTCGCCGTGATATTGAAATATTGCCATAAGCGGCGTAAAACCATACTTACTCACTCACTGAGAAAAATAAACATATAGCGAACGGTTTGGACGAACTTGGACCAGTGGAAGTAGCTGTGACAAGTACTGATTCACGATTTTGTTGCCGTTACAAAAATACAGGCAATGGCGAGAATCTATGGATGTCAAATTCTTTATTTTGTGGAACACAAAGTTCCGGAGTATGTACTTACTCATTCATCTGGTTGAAAAATATAGGTGTCAATATACTAAATGCATTCACGATGTTTTGTTTCATTGAACGAGGCCGAGATGAGAGAGTGAATGAGTTTAGCTTTACGCCCCGCTTAGCAGTGTTCCAGCAATATCACGGCGGGGAACACCACAACTGAGCTTTACACATTGTACCCGTGTGGGGAATCGAACCCGAGGCTTCAGCCTGACGAGCGAACGCTTTAACAACTAGGCTATCCCACCGCCACCGGTGAGATGAAGTGGGTTTAATATAGCCTTCCTCATCATTGAACTGATAAAGACATGATGGGTGAGTTGGGGGTCGCAGGTGCTGTACGGGAGGGGTTGGTCCGGGTTCGAACTGGTCAACATCAACCCGTACTTGTCATAAGAGGCGAAACCCGTGAAGAGCCGGGTTGGAATTGGTCTTCAGTAACCCATGCTTCTCGTACAAGTAAGAGGCGACTAACGGGATCGGGTGGTCAAGGTCGCTGACTTGGTTGACACATGTCATCGTATCCCATTTGCGTAGATCGATGCTCATGCTGTGGATTACTGGACTGTGTGGTCCAGACACGATTATTTACAGACCGCCGTCATATATCTGGAATATCGCTGAGTGCGAAACAACAAACCAACCAAACCAGTCATAAGAGGCGATTAACGGGATCGGTGAGTCAGCCTCGTTGACTTGGTTGATGCATGTCATCTTGTCCCAGTTGCGTAAATGTTGAATGTAAATGATGCAAGTCCCTGGATTGTCTGTTCCGGACAGGATTATTTTGAGACTGCAGTCACAGAGCAGGAATGTTGTTGAGGGCGGTGCCAAAAAACAAACAAATATGATTGAATGACACGGTTCATTATTTCCGCAGCAGCATTGTGTATACATAACCCCGATAATGTTATCATATACCGCTGCGCTGTGTCATATGACTGGGAAGTTAGTGGTTAAAACGTTGGTGTCGTAAGAGGCGACTAACGGGATCGGGTGGTCAGGCTCGCTGACTTGGTTGACATATGTCATCGGTTCCCAATTGCGCAGACCGATGCT